CCCCCCCCCCCCCCCCACCGCCCCCACATAGATCGCTACGTTTGCTGATCTCGTCCACCAGGCCCTTGTAGAAGTCGGCGAAGGTTCGGTCATCTTTGCAGCACTTATTGTATGCGACGAACATCACACGCAGCTTGCGATCCACGAGCTGCCAGCACACACACACACACCCCGCACCAACCGATCGGTCCACTCACTGAGTGTCTGTCTGTCTGTCTTCCTACTCACACCGACCCGATCAAGGGGCCGCGTCTCGACGATCTCTCCCAACGCCTCGACCTGCTGGTGCATTTGGTAGTCACACGTGCGCCTGACACACACACACACACACACACACACAGAGAGAGAGAGAGAGAGTGAGACGGCTGTCATGCAGCATACACACATACATACTGGTAAGTCCAGCCCTTCTCAAAGCCGCTGTTGAAGAGTGCTTGGCCGGCGTAGTTTTCGAAGATGGTCACAGGACAAAACTCCTGGTTCTCGCTAAGCCACTCGTAGATGAAGGTGTCTATGAGCTCATCCTTGTGCAGAATCATAGACACCCCCTCGGAAAATGCTGAAAATCCTTCTGTCTTCAGGCTCATGACCTCGGCTTGACGCCCCGGAAGACGACGCAGCGGGCTGGCCACGCGAGCCATGACATGTGGCCGCACAATGTCATCGGTGTTTGTTGGCTGTCCGAAAGCGCGAGAGCGGAGAGGCGACAGTAAGCTGACGATGCTGCTTGAGGGGCAGAAGGCGAGAACCGTCAGCGGAAACACCAGCAGCAGTACGTTGCCAACAGCCTGGATGATGTTAAACAAGATCTGCATTGTCCAAGCTGTGAGGTAGATGACGTCGTGCTCCTTGAGGTAAGATCCTCTCAACGACCCGCCAGATGCTGTCAATCAAAGGACACACACACAACACACACGACCATCTTCCCTCTTCTCCGTGAGTGATGAGTGCAGTGTTCGGGCTCACCTCTGGCAGGTCATGCTCGACAGGGGCCACACGCTCAGACTGTCCAGCCATCGCACACATGGAAAGAAGTGACGATCGGACGGACAGTTTCTCCCGATCTGGTCATCTGATCATCCATACTCGAAGATTCATCCTGGCTGCTGCTCCATGGTCCTTCCATGCGCCTCCTGACGTTCGCGGTCGTCGCCGCTCTCTCCCTGGCAGCAGCAGCAGTGTAGTCGTCTGCCTCACCGTCGGCATTCCTCACACCAGTCGCCCAGAAAGGCGGCATCGCCGCTAAGCCGAATGGACGCCTCCGGATGCGCCAGCACCCTCTCCAAGCCGTCACGCAGCGATTCACGCTTGAACGCCATATCGGTAAGGGCAGAGATCTGTAGTGTAGTCTCTCTCTCTCAGTGTGTGTGTGTGTGTGTGTGTGCACAGAAGCGCATGCAGGGCAAGGTCGGCCCGCCTCCGACCGACGAGGAGCTCTTGCAGTGGTTGGCCGACACAGAGGCCATCCTGGTCCAAATCCTGCAGGGCAAGAGGTAAGTGCGGTGCGTCTGTCTAATGTGTGTGCGCAGGTGGGCCTGTCTCGTCGCTGCTTGCAGACCGCCTGGTTCGGACAAGGTTGCCGAGGATTTCGCATTGAGAGTGTCTGCCCTCTCAGACTGTGAGCAACTAACTAACAATCGTGCATTATATGGGTGCATTCGTTGCAGTCCATGTGTGTGGGTGAGGGGGATGGGTCTTCAGTTTTGTTGATTGCAATGGGACCATCTGTATGTTGATCTGTCTGTCTGTCTGTCCATCTATGTATCTATGGCTTTTCCCGGTAGTAGGGGCGTGTGCATGTGGGCGATGGAAGGTAGCGTGTCGCTGGCTGCATGTTTTTCCGTGTTCGTGACTGTAGACACACCTAACTATGGTTGTTTGATAGCGATCAATGCAATGCCTTCCCGTCTTCTGTGCCTTGCCGTTGTCGGTCGGTCTGGCTGTGGCAAAGAATCGCCTCTCTTCGTTTGATCAAAAGCCCCTCGAGTCATTGTCATAGATACATGTGCGTGTGTTGTGTCAGCTCACTCGTTTCATCGTCCATCCCATTCATGCCTGTCTGTGTCTGTCCATCGGTCTACGCCTCTTGTGTCGGCCACAGAGCGCAGACTGCGTGACGGGGATAGAACGAGACCAAGCTGTGCACACACACACACACACACAGTGCAAGAGATGGATTGCCCACTGAGCCCTCTGGTCAAATACTCACTTGTGGAGTGCGTCGATTTGCTGCCTCACTGGCAACGCTGATGACGCCCCGCGCAGCTTCGACGACGGAGAAGCGCCAAGACGCACCAACCCAACTCCACCGCCTGACACGCAGCATGACAATCGCGCACATGACATGCCCCTGTCTATTTGTGTTTGTCTGTGTGCGTACTGCCAATGCCGCTGTCGTGTGCAGGAATCTGCCTGGGGTGCATCTTGACCCCAAGTGCATCGTCACTGATCAGATATGTGCACACACCGGGGATGGATGGATTGATGGCTGTACATAGCATCGGTCTGTCTGACTCGTTCACCGACCGCGTGAGTATTTTGTATGTCGCGAGCAGGTCGGCCAACTCGACGCCATTCGTCAGGTACGCCAAGGCCAAATCGTGGCGGCGGAAACAGTAGCTGTGCGAGGCGATCTCAGACCAATGCCTACACGTCCACGACACATACAGCGAAGAGAGAGAAAGAAGAAAGAGATGGATGGAGACATAAGGTCCGTTTGTGTGTTTGTGTCTGTGTCTGTGCTGACTACCTGTTGGTCATTTGGTTGAGGTTTGTGTCTGTCTGTTCCTGCATGATGGCCCCCTTCAACGCGTCTGTCCACTGCTGCAGCTCTGTGTCGTCCGTCGAAGCGATCCGCTTCCCCACACCAGCCAACACTTCACCTGAACACACACACACGCGCACACATTTGTTCTCACGTAAGATGCTTTCGGCGCGTGTGGCGTACTCATTCGCTGCACGACGTCTTCGGGCGAGGCTTTGCTTCCCTCCAAGTAACAGTGCAGCTCGTGTGCTTACGGCGGTCTGGTCACGAGGTGTGCGCCAGCGATGTAGCCGAGCTGGGATTGTGTGCGCAGGGTGTCGTAGAGAGACTGGTGCACGAGCTGGGAGAGGATGCTCAGGTGAACTCCTTCCTCGATGCCCAGGTAGGGGTACTGATAGACCAGCAGGCTTGCTCCATTGACGTCATCTGCATTTGGATGAGACATGAATGTTTCCCCAGTGATATGTGTGTGTGTGTCTGTGTGTGTGTGTCTATCTCACTCACTCACTCTGAATGGGGTTCCAGGCCTCCACTCGAATGTGCTGTCCTCGCAATTGGGCCACAGCTAACTCGGCGGCGTCGGCAGGTGCGAGTGGGTGGCTCACGCCGATCGTGTGTGCGAATGCCGTGATGACGTCCGCACTCTCGGCCTCATTGAGATTCCCACAGCTAGGCGACACACACACAGACACAGGTGGAGACATGATGAGAAAGGTCTGTGTGAATTTGCATGTCTGTGTGTGTATGTTTGTGACCTCAGCGCCTCGAGGTACAGTCTGTCCATCTGTTGTGCAATGGTCTGGTGCATCTGCTGAGTGGCTTCTCCCGCACTGCTCAAGCCACTGAGGAACGCCGCCAGCTCGGAGCGGTGGAATGCCTGACGTACACTGATGGCCTCGGCTATCTGTGCACAGCACATACACACATACATGCAACACGTGGATGGATCCATGTGTTGTGTTTGTGGGTAAATGCACTCACTTCGCCGGCGGACTGGACGGCCAGTCCTGTGTTGACGTCGCGCAGGTCAGAGAGGAGCGCACTGAGCGCACGCGACACAGACGAATCTCCAGCCGTGGTGTGTGCGGTGGCGAACGCCTTTGCGGTCGCATTGACGAGATGAGGCATCTGAAGTGCGTACGCTGTGAACCGGAAAGTCCACCCCCTTTGGTGGCTGTACGTGACACGCGCGGTGGCGCCGCACTGTCGCAGGTCAGCCAGGTCAATGTCGAGGGCGTCACCGAGGACATACTCATACAGGCGGCTCAATGACGACACACGCAATGCAGCCTGCACCCATGAGCAACATACAAAATGACATACGTATAGTCTCTCTATTATGCTGGTGCAGTCGCTCACCTCGTCTGAGTCGATCTTGGGAGTCTGGAGGGACAGGACCACATCCGCCTTCGGTGTGAGCACCGTGCGTGTGCTCTTTGCCGGTGGCTGCCCCTACCACCACAGTGTAGCGCCGTCGACGTTGATGCGTGAGGGCCCATCTCGGCCTGCCGTGCGAGTGAGTAGTGGCTGTGTCAACTGGGGGATGAAGCGGAGCGGGGGAGGGACTGAGAGTGGCTCGCTCGAGGCACGCCAGGCGGCGATGACATCGGGAGGAATGGGGGAGATGGCAAACGGCACCCTGTGACAAATCCAGATGTCAGTTTATGTATGTCGATATCTCTCTCTGCGTGTGTGAGAGTGGCCTGACTTGTAGTGGCGGTCCGTCATGCAGGGCGGCTAAAGAATCGCATCGAAACTCACCTGCATGCACAACACACAAACATAGAAGCTGTGTACACATTGTTTGGCTTCGTGGATGATGCGCACGGTCTGCAAATGCGATGTTGGCCTTCTCGGGCGTCATGTGTGTGTGCAGCACATCCATCAGCAGCTCTGTGTCGGGCACATCCATGAGTCCGTGCACATCTGCCAGCAGGTCGCTCGGCGGCACATGTGGGTAGGACAGCGACTCAGTGAGACGCCACGCATCACCACCTACACCATTCAGCGGGACAGTGCGAGTGTCTTCACGTGGCTCTTCCGTGTCTTATTTACTCATGTCCGTGCTCTTGTCGGTCCAGGCGAAGTCGACAGACGACATCCGTGCCAGACTCGCATACACCTCATTCAGATCAGACTACACACAAAACAACAGACAGCCACTCACATCGTTTGCATCTGTATGCATGGATGGGTGTCACCTCTCGCAGTGCATTGAGGTATCCAAACAGGCGATCCAGCACACGCGGCACGTCCTTCGAGCCCTTGCCGGTGAGTTCCATCCGGATCAGTGCCATGTCAGCGACGCTCGACTGCTCGGCCCCATACTCGACGGACGACACCAAGTCCTCCTCACGCAGAGAGGCGAAGAGGCCCCCACGTCCTTTGTGTTCCATCAGGTATCGCAGGGCCGGGTGGGGCTGGCTGCTCGAGACCTCGCGGAGGGGCGGCAAAGCAAATGAGACGAACAGGAGAGGATGCTCGTTCTCGGTTACAGGCAGGTGTATCAACTGGTTGGTGTTGGTGCCGTCGAATGGCGAGTCGTACCCGCCGCTTCTTCGCGTGAAGTCGTCTTGTGTGTTCTCACATATGCCCTCGTTGGTGGGGGAGACGACTCCGAACGTGTCGTTGATGAGCTGCTGCTGCTCGGCCAGTGAGATGGGCGAGATGGTGCTTACCTACACACACACAATATTACATCAACGGGTGTGTCTCACATTCACATCTGCATACCGTCATGCGATGGCCGCAGTAGAAGCGAGAGTGGCTGACACACAGACGGCAGAGAGGAAGATATCAAGACATGACATAAAAACCTTCATCTGTGCCATCTCTGTCGTGCATTGGCTACAATCGTTTGAGTGCGGCGCCCATGTCGACGCCCCGTTGTGCTGGCTCCGTCTCGAGTGTGTCGACCGAGCCCGTGGCGAAATGTCCCAGTGGCCCACTCGCGAGTGACATCAGCAGGTACTCCACTTGTGCGTCGACCGACGGCATGTTCTTCTTGTGCTCGCTGTCGACTGCCTGCACCTCGCTGTGTGCCTCGCGCGCGTCGAGCAGAGGCGACGCAAAGAAGCCCGCGAAGCGCTGCAAGCCCTCGGGAAAGGCAGTCGCTTCCAACTGGGCGAAAAACACCGTCCTGCACGTTTGTTTGCAGAGAGAGATACAGAAGGAGACATGCATGTCTCTGTGTGTCCATCCAGCCGTGGATATGAGCATCCGTACCTCTCTTTGTCTGTGAAGGCGTTTCCCTGGCCGCCGGCGCGTGTGAGGAACTCGTCGTCTTCCGACGGCTTTGGGTAAGCCGCTGACCCCAAAAAGGCCATGTGCTCGCTGAAATGTGCGAGCCCATCAATGTCTCCGTCGTCATGGCTGCCCACATTGACCGCACACGCGTAGGCCGCTCGAGTCGCTGATGGATCGTTGACCGCCACCGCCCGAATGCCGTTGGCCAGAGTGAAGACGCGGTAGGTCCGGTCGTCGAGGCGAGGTCTCTTGATGACGTCGGTCTCTTGATCAACTGACCCAACGGCGGTTGCCGACAGCCAGCAGCACACGAGCAGACTCACTGTGACAGTCAACCGCATCATTGCAAAGCTAAGTGGTGTCGTTGGCTTGTGTTCTGAAAAGGCAGACTCTGAGTGTCAACGGCCGGATGGTCTGTTGTCTGTCTGATCGACATACACGCGGCGAGTCTGTACTGTAGGTGTGTGTCGTTTCTGCGTAAGCTTATTGACTAACTATATTTCATTCATTCACTCATCATTGACTGCGGCTTTCCTTCACTCGTCCTTGTCGTCTTCCTCATCGTCAAAGTACTGCTGCCATCACATCACACAACACAACACAGAAACACGCTGCAGGCACATGCCCCTGTCTAGCTGCTGTGTGGTCTCACTTACGCCGAGGAGTGCGATTCCGATGAGTCCGAAGCTGCCCAGCGTCACCACCACATGCATCGCCTGCTTGGTGTCCAGGCCGAAGTACACCGTGCCGATTCCCAAGAAAACGATGGCCGCTGAAAGCATCACGCCAAAGGCGAGCATCCCGTACGACAGCAGCCAGTGCAGCAACATCCTCAGGCGCGTGGGCGGCCGTTTCTCTGCAGGAGCTGCCTCATGCGTTGAGTCCTCGGGGACGCGCGGCACAGCTTCCTTCGTCATTGCTGCAAGCGTCCGCAGTGCAGGAGACTCTTTCTCGCTGCCGTGTCAGAAGACAGAATTCAAAGATCGGAATGCAGAAAGGGTTGCGCGCCCCCACTCACTTGACGTCTCAATTGAGGCGCGTTGATGAACACACAGAGTCCCGCTCGCATTGCGAACGGTCAAACATTCGGACACAATCCACTGAGAGATCTCTCTCTCCCCTCACGAAGAAAACACCGTTGAATGGACGAGACGACGTGCGCTCACTCATGGCACGACACAAAGAAGCTGCTGGCTGGTGTGACCAAGAAACACCACTACATGAGTCAGACAGACGTTGCGTTGCTTACCAACAAAGCGTGACTACCGCCCTCACTCCCTGCCTGTGGCCTTCCTTCTACCCCCCTCCCGGCCTGCCTGCCTGCCTGCCAGTGTGCTCTGCCTGATTAGAACAGTAACAGAGAGTCGAGTATGGTTGGTAAGTATGTTACACCCACCCACTACCCACTCACATCAACAAGGGAGGGACTGCCATCCCAGCCACCCCACCCTCCCCGCCTTCCCTCGATCACCCCTCGCCCCAGTCAAGTCAGCACCGCACATAGACGAACAGGTGCCCATCGTCTGTCTTGGAGATGCGCAAGTCGTCATCAACGTACAGCGTGCTGTACTTGACCGACGGCAGAGACCCTCCCAGCGCCCCTCGCATCAGAGCTCCCCACGGTATGCGAATCTGCGTTCAGTAAACCAACCATATGCGAGCCGCACGTGCGGCCTTCCCCCCCCCCCTCTCTCTCTCTCTTACATACCCGTCTGCCCAGCATTGGGAGGACGTTAGCGTCACGGACATATGTTGACAAGAGCTGCAGAGCCATGTCGTTTGCTGAGCCGCCCTTGACAGGCCGCACATCGGCTGATGAAACCACAGTACCCTTCACAGCCATCGGCAGACCGGGCAAAAGACCGACAGCAAGGTCCACTTCGGACACCTTCACAAAAACAGCACATACACAGAGCAGTGCGTGTCCGGCTGGCTAGATGTCTGCGTGTTCTGTGTGTGTCCGTACCATTTTGCCGTCGGCGACTTTCTGCCGCACCCGACCGATCTCCGACACTCGCGTTTGCAACCGATGGAGATCGAAGAGGCTCTCGGCCTGCGGCAATGCAGTAGCACTTCCGAAGAGACGGCGAAGCGTCATCCAGAAAGGGCTCTGCCGGAACAGCTGCACATCGCCGTAGAGCAGCTCCCACGTCCCGTCGATATTGGCATCGCCGCCCTCCTTCCCGTTGCCGTCAGCCGCCATGGCCGCCAGGGAGCTGCAGATGTCGTTCACCATTTCTTTCTCATACGGCTTCGCCAGCTGGCCGCGGCTGGTTCTCGCGGCGATAAGGAAGAGCTCCCTCTTGAGCTCGTCGACCTGCGTCTTGTCAAGGGTCACCGCGGCCTCCCTGTTGTTGTTTGCAGCATCGTCGTCGGATATGTCTATCTCGGAGGGGAACGTGTCTTCCACAGTCGTTGTGAGCACCGGTGAGGCAATAGCATCGTCTGCGCGACTTGAGAGCGTCCGGGTGGTCGAATGCCGTGTCCCCTGAGGCCCGAAAGACGACGATGGCCGTGCAGGGAGGATGAAAGCCGATGTGAGGATCGAGGAAAGCAAGAAAAGAGCAGTGCCAAGGAGGAAAGGCAACATGACAGGGAAGCAGCCGCTCGTCAGGGGTAGGGTTATGCTTGCAGGGTTTCCAAACCCTGTAACCCCGGCAGTCCGAGAGATCTGCCGCTTGTGGATGCTTCGCCATGGCGACAGAGGAGAGCGAACCGCAGATCCTCCCTGCAACGGATAATGACTCGCCAGCGACGGACGGTGCGCACACAGGCAGATACGCCACACATACAACCAACAGCAGAGCGTCCACTAGTGTGGTGTGTGTGTGTCCATCAATCAGTGGTGGAAGAGGCTGAGGTGGAGCCAGCGCCTCAGCCTCAGCCACAGGCATCTCTGTTTGTTATCGGCGGGTGTGACGATCTGCGGCGGCACTCGTTCGACTGTGTGAGGCGGAGTGTGACGCCCTGGATACAGGGAAAGGCCGACAGGAGGGAGGAGGAGAGCCCGAAAGGTATACATACTCCATGGTGTGCACAGACACACAAGGACAGGACGGGTGTGTGATAGCGTCTGTCACGTGAAGTGTGTTGGTCTGTGTACACTGATGGATCCATGGGTGCAGGTGCATCGTGCTATGAGGCGCTGGCGCCGATGGGATGCCCGCGGCACGCGCATGCCGTCTGTGTGGCCACTGGTACAGACAGATACCCAGACAGACGTGAATCTAGTGACTGTGGTTCATATTCGCTGGGTGGCCTGCAGATGAGGAGATCTTCGTGATTGGCGGCCACGACGGCAAGAACCTCCTGCGGTATGCATTGCATGGCTGACTCACACACATGGATGGCATGGCATGGGCACACATGTTATGCTTCCCACACCATACCATGTCTGTCTGTGTGTCGACAGGTCAGCGGAGAAGTTCGTGATATCGGAGCAGAAATGGGTGGCGCTGCCGAACCTACACTTCCAGAGGGCATTCCTCGGTCAGTCAGCCGATCACACGTGTCCACCGTCAATCCAAAGGTATGTGTGTTTGTGCAGGGTGCGCGTGCGTCAAGGGTCAGCACGTGCTGGCCATTGGCGGCCAGGGCGAGAAGAGCGGTACGTGCGGGGCGCCCACTCACACACACACACACACATACAAACGCCCTTCGCATCGCAATCTGTGTTGGTGTGTGTGGATCTTTCCAGTGCTCAAGTCGGTTGAGCTGTACAACCCGGCGGCCAACACGTGGCGCGCCCTGCCCCCCATGAGCGAACCCAGACACTCGTGCTCTACCGCCGTCATCGGTCAGGGCATGCAACACACACATATGGATCCATGTGTCTTTAAAGATGCATGTGTGCGGACATGTATGTGTGTGTGTCGACAGGTCAGCGTGTGTACGTGTTCGGGGGCCGTGACGAGGCGGGCAACCACGGCAAAGTGCACAAGAGCTGTGAGATGCTCGAGCTGCCCGCCACACCAGGTCAGGCACAAACCAGAACACCCATTTCTGGTGAGCATACGGTCATCTGCATGTATGTGTGTGTGTGTGTGTGTGTTTCCGTAGGTGCGGGTGGTGTCAAGCCGTGGCGTCAGTTGCGCCCGATGAAGCAGGCGCGGAGCGGCGCCACTGCTGTCGCATTCAAGGGGCGGGTCTTCGTCATTGGTACGCATAGATACGAGCAGTGGAAAGGCAATGGATGCACTGGGGACATCCGCGTGTGTGAGCTGTGCTGTGGTGTGAGTGCAGGTGGGACCACAGGCGTGAAGCCGCTGCAGTCGGTGGAGATCTATGACCCCAAGGCAAACACCTGGCAGACAGGTACGCATCCCACCCACCGATTCAGCATCTAGCATGCACCTTCATGGGACTGCACACACATCCATGTGGGTAATGGTGGGTGGCAGGTCCCCCCCTGAACTCTGCGCGTGCGTGGCACTCGGCCTTCGTGTGGCGTGACCAGATTGTCGTGTTTGGGGGGCAGGAACCGACCGCACAGGTGCGGACACATCCATCCATCCATCCATCCCTGCCTACCTGTCGTGTCGGTGCGTCTGTGTGTGTGTCCGCCGACAGTACATAGTTGACACGGTCGAGGTGCTGGATCCCACCCCCATCCTGGAAGGCGTCACCACACCCAGCCCTCCTGTTATGCCAGTGAGCCCCCCCTCCCGACACACACAGACACTCTCAGAGGCAGGGACACGTGTGCATGCTGCTGGTGTGTGTGTGTGCAGGTGTTCCCCCGTTCAATAGCCCCTTCAGGTGCGTCTTCCTCCTCGGCTTTGTCTAAGCAGCAGCAGCAACCGCCCGGCGACACGTGTGTGTGGCGTGTGGTGGGGTCGACTGGCCTCAAGGACGCCTGGATGTACGTCGCTGTGCCCGTCGCCATGCCACAAGAGGTGGGTGCACTCCCCACCCACCCACACAGACACACAGACACACAGATGGGTGGGCACGGCACATGTGTGTGCATGTGTCTGCAGGCTGAGCCAGAGGTAGAAGTGTCCCCTCCCTCCTCGTCTGCTGCTGTCGCTGTTGCTGTTGCTGCTGGGACCGCTGCAAGTGCGCCATCACGGCGGTCCGCACCAAGTCAACACAACGCACAGGAGCAGGCTGCTGACGCTGGTAACTAACTGGTCACATAGGCACACACGTCTGCTGGGGCGCATTCATGAGTGCGGGGATGGATGGATGGCAGGTGAGTCTGGTGTGATATCCCTGACGGCCCAGTGTGCCAACCGCCAGTCGTCGGTGGTGCAGCCGCACCAGTCATCCAGCGCCCCTGACTCCGTCAACATCTCCCCATCGGCTTCGGCTGCAAGTCAGTACCCACCCACAGAACCACACCCCACACGCCATCCACCCATTCACACGTGTGTGTGTGTGGCTGTGTGTGTGTTTGTGTAGCAGCCAATGGGCGGCCGGATGAGCCCCGGGAGATGGGGTCGTTCTCGTCTCTCGAGCGTCCGAAGATGCGCACGCTGCTGCCGATGGACGTCTTGGCCGCCAACAAGATGCAGCAGAGGGAAGGCAGGTACCCACCGACGCATGGATGGATGGATGGATGCCTGAATGAGCGCGTGTGTGGATATCCGTGTGTGTGTGCTAGGGGTGACAATGGCGCCGATAAGATTGTGCACGCGCACCTTGATGCCGACGATGAAGACGGCGACCAGGTAGATTGAATGGGTGGATCCGTGTGGTGTGCGCACATGCGTGGGTTTCGTGTGGGGGATATATGTGTGTGAATGTGCAGAGTTCCGGGCGCAAGCGCGCGCAGCCCACCGAGAACGACCCCCTCGAGTGGTTTCAATCATGACTGACGAGACGAGCTGCCTGCCTTTCTCTCTGTCTTTTTTCTCCTTTGGCCGGCTCTCGGTTGGTTGATTCGGGTGGTGTGGTTGGTGTGTTGTGATTGGTGTTGGTGGTGTCGATGCTCTCTGCTCTCTGCTCTCGGTTCTCCGCTACCATGACACCCCCATGCATGTGTGTGGGTGTGTGTGGGAGAATGAGAGTGAGCGTGTTCTTTTCGTAAGCAAGCCCTAGGAAGGCAGCCAAGGGTTGAGACGAGACGAGGTGGGATGGTGTTGTCAGTTTAATCGAGACGAGCCGAATCGAATCGAGTCGAACAAACCAACACATTGCAGCTAGAGGGAGCGAAGTTGAGCGACAACACACAGCAGGTTTCTTCGTGTCTGTCCTTTGTTGGTCTGTCCGCCCGTCTCTGCCTGCCTGCCTGCCTGTCTGTGCGAGAGCCAGTGTGTGTATGTTTCCAATGGACGACGAACCGACCGTTTTATCCAATACTAATAATACCGACCGATGCAGAACCACGGTTGAGCAACCGTGGTTACGGGCGGAGCCCCACCTCTCTGTCCCTCTATCATACCAGCCATCCCCCGCCCCCTCCCCCCCAGCACCCATACGCCTCCCTAATTGAACATCCTTACGCCTAATTGAACACTGCCTTACGCCTTCATCGCATGTGTGTATGCCCACGTGAATTCATGTGCCCAATAGCACACAATGTCATCCGCACACACACACACACACACAGGCAGAGAGAGGGTGTCGACCGACACACACTCCCTCACCCAACCCACCCACAAGAGCACCGTGGCCAAATAATGGCAGAATGGTCAGATTGGTCTGGGCGTCTGTGAGGGGTCCTTGGGCGAGATGTCGCCCGGCGGCAGACTCGCAGACTTGACCTGAACACCACCACCAGCAACAACAACACAAACACAGATACACACACATACAATGAAGAGGTCTGTCCTGAATGTTTGTGTACGAACGCTCACCACGTTCTCCAGGTTGGTGACCCGCTGGTTGAGGTAAGAGTTGACCTGACCATGTGTGCACATCGATGCCATGGAGAAGCACACCTCTCTGTCTGTCTGTCTGTCTAGGTGGGTGAGGCGAGGTCGCTGGCCGAGCATGCCTGCCTACCTTTTTGAGGTTGACGATGGAGTCCTCCTTCTCCGCCAAAGTGGTCGTCAACTCAGACACCAATCGCTGCATCTCCTGTGTGCCACCACACACACACAGAGGTATGGTGTGTACCATGTTGCAGTACTGCATCCATATGTGGCCGTGCGTGGTGGATGACGCACCTCGATTTGGCCGCTCACCACCCGGCTGTAGTGCGCCATCGACCCACCACCCGACGCACCCAATCCTGATCGACAGACAGACAGGCCAACCACACACACGCATTAAGGGCACCCACCCCATAAGCAGTTGCGTACCAGAAGGGGTGTGGGGCCTGTTGGTCGTCTGCTGCTGGTGCTGCTGTTGGTCGTCGATGTAGATCTTGAGGTTCCGTTCGGCGGTCGATGCGCGGCGCTTGGCGTTCTCCAGCTGCTCATGCAACCTGCACAGCGCCAGCAGAACACATAGATAGATCGGTGTGTCTTTGTGTCTGTGTGTCGTTCGGCGTGCCTCGCTCCCTCACTGTTTGTTGGCTTCAATGGCCCGGTCCCTCTCGGCAGCGACCTGCTGCAGCTGCTGACGATCGACGCTTCTGCTGCTGCTGCTGGCGCCTGCTCCTGCTGTGGGGCTGCGTGCACCACACATGGACACGCGGACATGCAGCCCCACAGCATAGGTGTCATCATCCCTTGTGTACCTGCCGTCTGTTTTGAGGCTGGCCATCTCCTGCTCGAGCTTCTCACGCGTCTCGGTCAACGAACAGATGCGCTGTCATCGGCGGAGGCGACAGGCAGGTCAGCAACGCACGCAACACACGCATTCGTCATCTCTCTCTCTATCTCAATCTGTGTGTGTGTGTGTGTTTGGCGGACCTTTTTGAGTTCGGTGGTGTTGTCAGGAAGCGACCGATAAACCTCCTGCAGCGAATCCGGCAGCATCTCCCTGACACCACACACACACACACACACACGTGTATTCATATCTGCGTATGTGTGTGGTGTGTCGGTCGTTGTGCAGACAGATGCTGACTGACAGGTTGTCGTCACTCGAGCCACTCCAGCCGCCCCCCTCTGAGGCGTCGAACATGGACTGATACGCGTTGGGCAGCGGAGAGGGGGTGGGTTGACGCTGCTGCTGCTCTTGTTGTTGCTGCTCCTGCTGCTGCTGTTGGTGGTGTTGTTGCAGCTGCTGCTGTAGGTCCGTGATCTGCCTGTCCTTGGCCGCGAGGGACTCACGCAGCTCTGCCAGATGAGGGGAGGCAGTGACCTGACACACACACACACACGGTGAGGGAGAGGAAGAGCAGCTGAGTGTTCTGTCTGTCTGTCTGTCTCTCTCTCTCTGTGTGTGTGTGTGACGACGGTTGTGTTTGTCCCTTCCCTCCCTCCCTCCCTCCCTCCCTCCCTCTGCCTGTCTGTGCGAGAGGGCATCCATGAATTCATCCGCTCACCCCGGTTTGTGCGTCTCCGGTGGTCTCGCCCCCTCCCTGCATGGACTCGATCATGAGCTGCTGGTCCTGCACCTTGAGGTTGATCTCCGTCCACGACCGGCGGGCCTCCTCAAGCGACGCCTCAAGCCTCGACGCCTTGCGGTGCGCAGCGGCCAGCTGGTCCTCTAACGCCATTATCTGATTGATGGGTGCACAGAGAGAGGGGGCAAGGGATCTTTGAATATGCGCAGTGATGTGTGTGGGTGTGGGTATCGGGATGGTCACCTTTTGGTGCTTGGCGTCGGCGGCCTCGTCTGCCTCTCTCTTGAGCCTCTGGTGCTCCTGCAACATCTCCTGTATCTGCTGCTCCGTGTAGGTGGTGCCAGTGGGACCCGGTGGCTGTGGCTTTGAGGGTGGTGTGATGGGCTGCTGCTTTGGGCTCTCCCTCTCAAGCTGGAAACGGCGCACCTCTGACACACAGACCAGCACACATAATGCCTCCTCTCTCTCTCTCTCTCTCTCTGTGTGTGTGTGTGTGTGTGGGTTTTTTGAAAGATAGGTACCTGCCTGGAACTCTGACTCCATCTCTTTCTCCTTCTGAAGAAAGTGCTCCCGCTCCTTCTCGACCGCAGACTCGATCAGGCGCTGCGTCTCAGCCTGACAGACAGACAGACAAACAGACAGACAGACAAATCACCCGAATGCAGCACCTCTCTGCGCATGTGCGCGTGTTGGGGCATGTGTGGTCTGTTCAGGTGACCTATACCTCCTGCTGTGCCCGCTTCTCCCGCTCCATTCGCAGATCGGCCTCAAGAGCTTCCACCTGCACGACACGAGAGAAAGAGTGAATGGGGAAAACACGCACATTCATCCCGCTGCTGGCCTGACCTTTGCCTCAGCGCATGTGGCTTTGCTCTCGGACTGCTGCAGCTTCAAACGAAGCTCACTGTTGGCCGTGCGAAGGGACTCCACCTGCATTATATGACAGAGAGGAGGGCTGCCCACGTCACGTGGTTGGTCAGCCAGCCTTGCGGATGATTCGATTCATGCGCACCTCTTGCTGCAGATCTTGCAGCTCTGCCACGGCTGCTGTGTCCCCCTCACCTCTCTCACCAGACCGCAACTCGTCCACCTGCACACACACAGAGAAAGACAGAAACACATGAGGGAAGGGGGTATCCCTCCCTCCCTCCCTCTGTCTGTCTGTCTGTCTGTCCGTATTCGGTGACTTGCCTGTGTCTCCAGAGCCGTGACTTGGCTAGTCTTCTCGTCGAGCTGTTTGTGCAGCATGGCGGTCTTATCCCTCAGCTCCCTATCACGCACCTCCAGCGAACTCTGCAACGCCGTCACCTACACACACACACACACACACTGACTGGGGGAGAGGTGTGGTTGGTGTGTGGGGTATGGGGCAGGGTACGTTGCTCTTGAGCGAGTCGATAGCCTTGCTGGCCTGCGCTTCCTGCGCAGCCAGCTGCTCCTTGACGCCGTCAATCTTGGCCTGAACACCACACACACACACACACACACCAGACACACAACGGCTTTATGTGTGTGTGTCTGGGCATATGTGTGTCATCTACCTCAGCAGCTGCCGCATCTGTGCGTGCCGTCCGCAGCTGTGTTTGGAGTGAGGAGACCTCCTGCTGCAGCCTCGCCAGCTCGCCCGCTTCATGGGGGTCGCTCTCATGGCGCAACTCCACTTGCTGATTGAATTGACCAATCGATAGACGCGTCCACGCCACAGACGACATGATATGGGTAAGACACTATCTCTCTCTCTCTTGTGTGTGTGTGTGTGTTTGTGTGTGTTTAGTCGCTTACCCGTCTGAGCTCCTCGTTTTCCTCATTGAGCCTCTCTGTCTGCTCGACGAGCGTCTCGATAACGGACTTGACCTGACTTGTAGAGTTCTTGACGAAATCTGCATAAGCAATCCATCGATGCATCCGTGGGGGATGGATGGGTGGATGTGTGGCCACCCTGGCCGTCACGTTGCAAGCTGACCTGTGTTGAGTGTCCTCTGGAGGAGGGTCTTGATATCCTTGCCCTCCTTCCGGGCCTTCTCCATGTAACGAAAGGCCTACACGCACACAGACAGACAGACAGACAGTCGATGAATGAAAGGCGATCAGCCAGAGAGAGAGCCATCCATCCATCCATCCATCCATTCAATCCATCACCTTGAGCGTCTCCGCAAAGCTGTATTCCTCAACCTCCTATATACACACACACACACATCAACCAATTGACGCAATTAATGACTCCACCCACTGTGTGTCCGTGTGAGTGCTTGCCTGTTGTCCGCTGCCATATATGGTGACGATGCCCTTCCCGGCCGACTTTTTGCTCTCACTGCTGTCGCTGCTCGTCTTGCGGTGCACCTCCATCGGCAGCAATGACTGGGGCTGCGGCGAACCGCTCGAGGCCGATCCCGAGTCGGCTGCTGGCTCTGAATCCGCCATGCTTTCGGTGTTGCTCGCAATGCTTGCCTGGTTGCTTCAACCAAGCGCGGGAGGGAGGGAGAGGGAAGGGACCGATGAGTCAGTGACTGACCAGAAGGTCACTCACGCAAAAGAACCGATTTTCTTCTCCCGGATAACTTGTCGATGGCTCTCGTGGCTGCTGCTGCGCCGTCCAACGAGTCACGAAGCCGCATTTCAAAACAACCACCGTCGCAAGCTTACTAGCTCGCAGCGTGCCTTTTCGCAGGGTGCTCCCTGAAACCGCAGCAGCAGCCTTTTCGCACCATGGGCAATCAGGAGAGCAGCCACAGCAGCGCGAGGAAAGGCCTCGACTACGGGCGTTTGTCGCGCAACGAGGTGGAGCAGCTCTCGCACCGACTGGGCTTCAGCCTCACGCCAGAGGCCACGCTGGACCCAAGGCAGGTGTGCGCGGCCTTCCCGTCCGTCCTGCGGCCATACGGCGCCATGTTGCTCAAGGCATGCACACACACACGAGATCCATGAATGTGCGTTGACCCACTCATTACGGCTCGGCTGTGCGTGTTCTCCTGCTGGTGTGTGTGGTGCAGGGTATTCGGCCGCAGGTGGCGCCGCCCTCGCGGCCGCCATCGGCGAGGAGGGAAGGGCACGGATACGGCAAGAGTGGTGTGAGTGCGAGTGGTGGTGGTGGTCCCAACTCGTCGTCGACTCAGGGCAGGATTGGCGCACAGGACCTGCTCAAAGCAAGTGAGGCCTTTGGGTGGGGTGACTGACACTGACAGAGGGAGAGAGAGAGAGAGAGAGAGGGAGAGAGGGAGAGAGAGCGGTGATCTATGTGGTTTGTGCGCTGCGTTGTGGCCTTGGTGTTGGCAGTCTCAGCCTGCACGTATTCATCGCCTGACGAGATCCAGCGGCTGCTGGTGCGGGCCTTCCTGCTCGACATCAACGGCGGCATCGATGAACACTTCACACACGGTAGGTAGCTTTGCTGCCTACCCTTCAACACCCACACACGCCCACCCCACCCCCCCGGCGTGTGTTTGTGTGTGTGTATGCGTGTATGTGTGTGTGTGTGTGTGCGTGTGTGTGTGTGTGCGTGTGTGTGTGTGTGTGTGTGCCTAGGCCGTCTGTCCAAGGCCCTCGAGCGCGCCGTGACATCACTGCTGACGTACCTCTACCTGGAGTCTGCCTTTCTCACTGACCCATCGGCGCCGCTGTTCCGGTCGCTCAAGCTTACGGAGAGCCACCCGGACGTCACCAAGGCCGTCGGCAGGCCTCGCGCCAACAGCTGGGACGTGACGAGCTTCTTCACCTTCGACATGAATGCGGGCGGCGGGATGGCACACAACAAGGACGAACAGATCCTCTCACTCAGGTATGTCCTTCATGCATGCCACGGCGCACAGATCTCCAAGGTTGTCTGTGTGTATGAGCAGGCCGCTGCTCAACAGCCTGACCATCTTCCTCCGCACCAAGACGAACCCCGCTCTGTCGATCTCCTCCCCCACGCCCCCCTCCCTGACGGACGCGGTGGTGCAGTGGCTGGAGGACACACTGCCCTGCATCCCGACCGTCTTCACAGCCGCCATACGGTTCCACTTTGTCGACCCGCCCTTCCTCAGGACACGCCAGCAGCAGCGCCCGTCGAGGGACGAAGACGGCCAGGTAGTGGATCCACTCTCTACCTGTTTATCGGGGATGGATGGATGGATGTGTGCATGTGTGTGTAGGTGGTGGACGAGGGCATATTGCGTTCGCCGTCGCTCGGCCCGGTGATCCGTCAGAGTGACGGCTGGAAGGGCATCTTTCTGCTCGGCACCAGCAGAGTGCTGCCGGACGAGATCTGCTGCACGGTGGGCGAGGCGACTGACTGACCGGCACACACATGCACCACACTCATTGATGTGTGTACACGCACTTGTCTGTTTGTCTGTCTGTGTCTGTCTGTCTGTCTGTCTGTCTACTCTCTATGTGTTTTGTAGTTGCGCCATTCTGAGGCCAAGCTTAATACCCACCTGTGGCACAGACTCTTCGCATCTTGGAAGAATGGTAGACAGAGAGAGACACACACACAGGGAGAAAGGCATGTGTGTTGTGTGGTGTGCAGGCTTGTCGTTCAATCGTCTGACCCACCACATAGTGCATTACGCCGGCCCCTCCCTGATCGCAGTCAAGACATATGACGGGCAGGTCTTCGGGGCCTACTGCTCACAGTGAGGCAACAGCACAGCACAGCACAGCACGGCAGCCACACCATACGCGTGTTAACTGTATGTGTGTGTGTGCAGGCCATGGAAGGAGTCTAACACGATCTACTTCGGGTCGATGGACTCCTTCATTTTCGCCGCCATCCCCTCGTTCCACGTGTACAGGTCAGCCAGTCGAGTCGGCACACACATGACACCACACCACACCACACCACGACACACATCCATCCCACTCCTCTCTGTGTATCCACAGGTGCACTAATCGCAGCCACAACTGTTTCTACCTCAATTCCAAGAACAATTACTCGCCCAAAGGCATCGCCATCGGAGGCACCCTCGAGTGCCCCCGAGTATGGATACGAGAAGGTCAGCCAGCCAGCCAGTCAGGAAATTACCCTCCTCTCCCCTTCTCCCCTGCACACACACACACACACACACACACAAGGCATGCAATGGTGCAGATTTTGAGGACAACCACGTCACATTGAGCGACGCCACATTCGCGACGGGACCCCTCGTCAGGGACTTCGCAGAGTTTGCTCCCGAGCAGCAAGACATCAACAACAACAGCAGCGACAACAACAACAACAACAACAACGACAACAACACCAACAGGACACAGGCCGCCAGTGCCGCCCCATCAGTGTCGGCCTACGACTACATGGTCAAGTTTCGCGTGCAGGAGCTGGAGGTGTGGGGGGCGGGGGGCGATGACGCCCTCGTGCAGCAGCAACACGGACAGGACTCTGAACAACGGGTGGGTACAAACGTGTGTATGCGTGTGATGGATGGATGTGTGTGTGTGTGTGTGTGTCTTAGGTGCGTGAGCAGCGCCGCAAGGTGGACAAGAAGCAGCTAGTGGGGACCGACTTCGACAAGGAGTTCCTTCTCGGCAAGACATTCGCCGGCGCCAAGGAGGCCAGAGAAGACGTCAGCAGAGAGCGATAGCGAGCAGCCGACTAATGAACGACTTCGAGTGTTTGATGGATGGATGGATGGACGGACGGTGGATGGTCACGTGTTCGATGGATGTGCGGTGTACATAAAGGAGGGAGGGAAGGGGCTCGGTCAGTCAGTCAGGCAGTCGATTTTGCTGTGTTTGGGCCGTGTAGCTGGCTAGCTGCAGCAGGAGAGGAGCTAGAGGATTTTGTGCTTTTGTTGGTTGCACGTGTGCCGTGCTGTGCGTGCCACTCGTTCATCTGTCCATTCATGAAACGCACTGACAGTACCATCCAAACGTAACGCCTTCTCTTGTTTGGACTTATCTTCTCGCCCTCTCGTCCATGTCATCCGCTCACTCTCAGTTTGGCATTTGACAGCAACTGTTGCAGCGGACGGAGTGAGAATCGACGCGGTGGACAAATGAGATGCAGACGGATGGACGCGTCCATCCAGGAGAATGAACACAAAGGCCGCCGTCTGGGAATCCTGGCCGGATATTGGGCAGGGCTGTTTGTGCGCATCGGTGCAGCTTGATGGACGGTTCCAGGAATCAATCGCTGGTTGGAGAAAGAGATGCAGAAGTGCACTGACGGAAGTCATTTTCTGGATCCGTCCGTATTTGTGTATGAGCGTTCCAACCCACCAACACGCACAGCTCACGCCACACGCACACACACACGTGAACATTACATGGAGGTTTGCACAGAGATAGATGTGTCCGTCCGTCCGTCCAACCAGCTGGCCGGCTCGGCTATCCACAGCGGTCGATCGATCGACCTTCCTCACTGACTCACTCAGTCACGTTGTTTGCAAAAGGGGCAGGGCAACCACCACCCACCCTAGCTACACATATATGCCTGCCAAAGGCACCATCCATCCATTGCCCGCCCCAAGCTTGCAACCTCTCCGCTGCCTGCAGCCCCTCGGTCCCTCCCTCCCTCCCTCCCTCCCTCCGACCGACCGACCGACCGACCGACAGACAGATGAAGTCACTCAGTCACTCCAGCAGGTCAGGTGCACGACTGCAGGCAGGCAGACCACACACCACACAGACCGCATTATGGACTGTCAGTAATGGTCTGTCTAATCTATCGGCCCCTGCCTGTACGTACGTACCTAGTGGAGGTTCATGTTGAGGTATTTGTGGTTGGTAGTGACGGTGACGGTGAGGCCGGGCAGGGCGGCCGCCTGCCGGATGCGGCGGATGTACTCGGCGTACTTGTCCGAGTGCTGGCCGTCCAGCACACGGTTGAGGTCAGCCAGAGAGCCCACCCGGCACCGCGACACGGCCTCGCCCACCATGCGAACCTGAATGAATCAATGAAATGATAGACCCAGCACAGCCAACACAGACAAACAAACAGACCAGGGAGGGAGGGAGGGAGGGAACAAGACACCCAATCAATGAAGCATCAGACAGATCACTCACTGAGTCACCTCAGCGTCGAATCCGTCGTGGGCTGTTGTGTCGGTGACGGTCACTGCAATGAAGGGCGCTAGGCACAGCACAAAGTACTCACTCGGCGGCCGCTGGGGCGGCGTGTTGGGCTCCTGCACGCCGCACCGATGCACCCCCGCGAGCTGCCCCCCCAGCCCCCCCTGCCAGTTGGCCAGCATGTCCTTGGCGGCCTGCACGTCGGCCGGCGTGCCGTCGGCCGCGATGCGCACCGAGAGCGTCATGGGGTTGGGTGCCTTGCGGTGCAGCTGATTGATCAGCGCCGCGTCGGAGAAGCG